TTTAAAGTATTTTTGCCAAAGTTTTAAAAGCAATGGTCTACATGATGATATGCTTATCTGTGAGTTCTCTGTCCAGCTAGAAGATTTTTTTCACTTATAATTAATGCAGATTTTTAAATGGTAACCTTGCTGGTGGATATCCCTGGGCCCACTGCGTCTGAGTGTCCGTCCTGCTCTTTGGGCACATTTCCTCTTTGCCTTCCTTGCCTTCCGTAAGAATGCAGTGTTGCTTCCAGAACCTGTTAAACACTTAGTCTTGTACTCTGATTTAACTGATGATCTTCAGTACTCAGACCAAAAGCCAAATTAAAATGTGTGCACTACCGTGAAGGCAATGGGGGAGGGCCATTGAAATGCACTGACCAGGGTCAATTTGGTGACAGTTTCAAAATATGACTCAAAGTTAAGTGTGAAGGACAGATTTGGGTTTGGGAAGTGAGAGGAAGGAAGGTTTCTTCCTCACCACGGGTCTTCCATGGTGATCCAGGAGGAGATAACTGGGTGTCCTAAGCTTGGTTAGGGAGGAAAGATGTGGGACATATGCGGTGAAACAAACAGCAATGTCTGGGGATTAAGGGTGTGTTGCCAGTGCATGGAGATGCAGGGCAGGTGACAGAGGAGGAGATGGTTCAGATTCCTGACAGAATCAGTCAGGCACCATTCACCAAGAGGACGCAACAGCAAGAAGAAAACCTTCAGTGGAAAACATGATGGATTCTATTCTGAATATGAAAAGAGATTTCAACAATGAGCAGAGAAGTGGTGGCTGAGGCCAGGGGTGTAAAGGGGATGACCCTGGGTTGGAGCAAGGCAGATTGGCACCAGGCAAGGAGAGACTGGGAGACTGCACAGAAATCTGAGAAGGAAAGGAACAGGACAAACTTTCTTTGCATAAATCCGAGAAAGAGGTTCTTTTAATAAAGACATTGTCTGTTATGTAGAAATCTACTAAGGATCCAAGCACGGGCAGAGCTGGATGTGTTTCAGAAAACCTAGAATAGTGGCTGCAGAAGCCAGGAATGAAGAAGAGAGTATGTGAAAAAACAAAGCAGTGACTCTTTCAAGGCACCCGATGGTAACAGGAAACAAAGGGCTGGAACGGAAGCTCCATGTCAGGGGAGAAAATGTATCTTCTGTGCTTAACCTCCCATACTCCTTCCTCCCCAGCCCAAATGGGAATTGTTAATGGATGAAAAGGCAAAAAAAACCTTGAAGATAGAGAAGGGAGCAGTTCTTAGAATGAGTTTGCCAAGGATCCCAAAGTATGAAATCCTGCACATGAGTGGAAGGATTAGATTTTGACTCCAAGGAGAGATTTTTTAATTATTTAAATTTAAATAATCTAAGAGGGAAAAAGGAAATTTAAAATTTAAAAGGGAAAAAGGAAAGATTTGTACAGATGTATGCAAACTTATTTATTTTATTATTGGAAACTAGAAACAGTCCTTACTAGGCAAAGCTTTTATTTCTCTGTGAAGGAAGCTGTACGATCATTTGTTGAGAGTCATGGACGAACAGGTGAGTTTGGTATTGAGAGACGATTAAATTAGACTGCATTGGTAATAATATAGACATCAACACATTTCCATGGAGAACAGAACTTTGGTCTCAGCATTAACTACTTAATCTCTTTAGGTCATTTTAAGAATGAAATGGGAGACAAAATGAAAATAACAGGATACATCAGATTATATTTTTGTGCCCTTTGGTAGTTATTATTTCTTGTCCTACCACATCTGAAAAAATAAGAAAATATTTTTTATTTACATGTTACACAATATCTTTGTTTCTTAGACAACCTCTTCATATTTGTCATTCCATGCTTATCTGAATGTGGAATGCATATTTACATATAATGTTGATCATTTTCCAGAAATAAACTATAGCAGATTATTTCTGAAGTAAGAGGTAATGGCAGGTTGCCTGGTTTGACTTTTCATAAACACTGCAGTATGAAAAGAGGATTTTTAAAGAGTAGTTTTGGAATTATATCATGGTGCTACCTTGGGGAAAGAGAGAATATATGAAATAAATATTAAATAAAAGGACCTGAACTGGGAAATGCTTTCTAACGCTGACTCACTCACTTCTTCAGCACCTTCTATTTCTGTCACTTTCAATGCAACCAATGTGATAGATCATTTGTGGATGACATTCCTAGTTTTGCTAAATTAATCATCTTTAGCATCTGTAAATCCACTCACTGCTTTCAACTTTCAGAGGCTAAATAGATTTTAGTTACAACTCCATTAATCTAAACTGAACGTGGCAAAATGAAGGTTATTCTGATTTTGAATATGAAAGTCCACAGTGTACTTTAAAAAGTGTCAAAGTGACTGAAATTTTTTTTTAAGAACAAAGCACAGTTGTTTCCTTTATCTTTTGTTTTCCCAGCTATATTATTTAATTGTTTTAGCTGTACAATATTTCATTTATTATGTAGAATTTTTTTTTTTACTCTTTTACACATAGAGTTTATAGTAACCAGTGAAAGACCAGAGGGGCTGGAGTCGAATCAGGGCCACTGAGGGCTCAGTGGTTATAGGACCAACCAAGTGATAATGAAGGTTTTGACTTACAAACTGAATGCCCTGGGATGCTATTGAAGGGATTTGAGGGGAGGGGTTACATGGTCGGAACTGGTTTGTAAGAAGCTTCTCAGGCTGCTGTTCTGAGACGAGCATATGGGCCACATGTAGACACGAAGATGATGGAGGTCGTCCAGATAACTGAGGTGAGAAATCTCGGCGGTTTCGGTTAGGATAGCAGTGGTAGAAGTATATATAGAGTAGCAGCTGGATTTGCTACGCATTGTGGACGGCAGGCTAAATCCATTGCTTTCAGTTTATATGTATCATGTGAGAGAAATAAAGAAGTTAACATACCTGATCTTGGGGGAAGGATGGAATTCACAGTTGCTGAGACGGCAGAGATTTGGGGAGAAAAAGGTTTGCGGGAGAACGTCTGCATTTGGCTTTCAGGGGTGTTGCTTTTGGGATGCACACAGAGGCGGTAAATATGAAGCTGGGCATGCGCAGGTGACGTTCAGGAGAGACGCAGGAGCTGGAGGTGGAGCTTAAACCTTGTCAGCGTTCTGATTGGTGCACAGTGGGGAGCACGTGGCAGCTGCCGAGAGAGGGACCCATGGAGAGCGCGGGCACAGACGGAGCTTCAGAGCAGCCGATGGCCAAGTCTGTCTTCCAACTCTCTGGCTAATTTTTCTAAAACCAAATCTTAAATGTTCTAGACCATCCTTCAGTATTCTTTAACGTTTTGAAATTACTCTGCCCTTAATTTAAGAGTGCAATACATTTTCATTTTTCCCCTAAAGATAGTAATTATGGTAGTTTTTTCCTTTCTGTTTGCTTTCATATCTCACATGACTTGCTTTTTACCCACATTTTTCCCTTTTCTCTACCAGCCATTCTGGGTGTTAAACTTGAATGACTCCGGCTCTCTTTTTTGTTTTCCTTTATTCTTTTCAGGCTCTTGTATTGCTCACATGTCCAGAGACCCCTGATTTTTTCACTCACAGTTAGGAATGAAAACAATATTATTTTAGGTGTGCGTGTGGGTTTCTTTTTTTGTTTTATTGCCTCCTTTCAGGTAGTATGGCTCTTTGAAAGTTCTGTTGACAGTGAGAGAGTTTATGCAGTGATTCATTCCAACTTTTCCAGTTAATTTTTCTAAAATAATATTTTTAAATTTTTTAGAATACCAGCCTTTAATATTGTTTTACAATTTGAAATTGAACTGTCTTTAATTTGATTTTTATCTTCCGTGTTGCCTCCTCTGAGCACGGGGTCCCTCTAGTTAGCAGAGAAGTCAACTACTCCTGCTGTGGTCCGTTTCTAGAATGTGTGGGTGGGTGTGGCATTTTCTGTATGGTTCCTCTATCGCCCTTCAAATTATTGCCTTTCAGAAAATTATTTCAGTGGCCTTTAGCTTTGTAATTATAAATGCAATATTGGTTTGCCACTCAGGTATTTATTTGGTCAGAACATTCTTAAAATTAGCTTTACAAATATGATCCTACTTCTCTATATAGTAAGGATAGTAATGATCATACCTAACACACAGAATTACTGCTAACATTAACTAAGGCAATATGTATCTAGTTCAGTTCCTGAAGACTAGTACATGCTTAATATTACCATTCATAATAACAATGTTTTGAGTATTTTTATCTCTAAATAGGTGACATAATAAAAAGTAAGTTGTATTCTAATTTACAATACTATTATATATAGAATATATCATATGAATGATTGCATCATTTACTTACCTAGTTTAGAAAAAATATTACATATTAAAACAAAATAGCTTATGTATTTGCACTACATATTTTATGCATGTATCAAATTTCATGGTTCTGATGAAAATTTCTCAATGTAAGAACAGCTATAGGGAAATAATCATCCTTTAAACTTATGGAATTTTTCTGACCTTCCCATATTTTTGTTCAGTGTTTTTCTATGGCAGTTTATTGGCACATTTGTACATATTCTACATATATTTCATCAGCCCAAGTATTACATATGGACTTTTTTCTATTATTCAAATTTGCCTTCATTATATTCAATACAGTATACTTCACAGAAAATAGATATAAGCAGGATTACAAAGAGAACTGAGGCACTAATATTCAAGACTGAAAGATCAAGGTTGACTGGAATAGTTCAGAGACCAGATAGTTACTTGTTCAGGAGTCTGTGGAGTTGCTCATTTTTCTACTGCTGATTTGGGATTTATAGAGTTTTTTAAAATTTCTTTTCTTACAGTTTAGGATTTTTTCAACTACAAATATAAGAATAAATGGTTCCCCCAAAAATGAGTAAATGGTTCAACCATATAACTACTATTTCAATAGCAAATCTGCCAGAATCCACATAAAAGAAAAAAATAAAATAAAACCTACAGCAAAATGGAAGATTAATGTAATTTGTCCTGAAGCAGCCTCTGTAATACCATGCGAGACAGTTTTAACTTTCTTTTTTCAGGTTGATATCCTTTACAGTCAACAGGAAAATGAAATGAAAGACATATCAGCAGATATAAAGGAGGAATCCAAATCTCAAAACAGCAAGGACAGAGTGATCTATGAATTAAGGACAGAGGTAGGATATTGGATAGAGGGTTGTGCCTACTGGAATGCACCTGTTGTTGTCAAATGACACCAGGTTGAGGGGTAGACCTGATGTGCTTTTGATTACTTACGAAGGCGGATGCTGCTGGTAGTGTAATCAACTTATGTGTGATTTAAAATGCTGAGAAATGATACTGGTTTACTAGATCTAAATTCATTTGAATGTTAAAATGGCACAATATTTGACTATAAAACCACCCTGTAGCACATACTAGTCTTACTCTGAGAAAATATTTATAAAAAGTTCAGCCAGCTTCTAGATGGTATATACTAATTTATTTTCAGAAACAATGACATCCAAGATACGTGGTAGGCGGTTTCCGGTGGAATTAACACTGCCATTGTCAGCTAGCGGCAAGGAGAGACAGAATACCTTTACTTTTGTTATGGTTATTTCATTTCTTAGGTATACCAAGTACAATGGCAGAAATATCTGTCTTCCACTCCTATCCCCACGACCAAATGAATTTTTACAAGTTTACATTACATTACAATCTGAATGTTTTTCTTATCCTGTCCATAAAGAAGGAATATTGTCCTTAGAGACAGAAGGAAGGATTGAATTATTTGTACTTCCTAGAAAATTGTGTTATTGCATTAAAAAAGGGAAAATCACCTGGGTGTGGCCTGTCTGTAATTCCAGTCATTTGGAAGGTTGAGGTGGGGGATCCATTAAGGCCAAGAGTTTGAGATCAGCCTCAACTCAAGCAACATACTGAGACCCTAGGTCTACAAATAATGATGCCAAAAGTTTGACACCAGCCTAAGCAACATAGTGAGATCCTGGGTCTACAAATAATAATGACAATTATAAAATTAGCTGAGTGTGGTGGCACCTGCCTGCAAGTCCCAGCTACTTAGGAAGCTGAGGCAGGACTATTGCTTGAGCCCAGGTTGTGGTGAGCTGTGGTGTTGCCACTGCACTCCATCCTGGACAACATAGCAAGATCCTGACTCAAAAAAAAAAAAAAAAATGGAAGATCACAAATTATTTATTTTGTAATGCAAATTGTAAGAACAATTTACTAAATGGAAAAATAACAGTGAAAATATAGACTGAGAAAATGGTGATTTGTATTAAGTATTTTCTTATATAAAGTTCTTCAAATGCTGAAGTTACATTAAAGTATAAATAGATTTTGGAAGTGGCTCCATCATTTACGGATTACTTTATTTCAGTCAACTTTTAAATCCTCCCTCAGTCTCAGTTTGCAGATTGAAATAATAATAATAGTAGTCATTATGTAAGATTTTTAAAAAGATTACACCCTGCAAGGGATAAATTGCCCCAAACAGAGTGCTCTATTTTTGGAATTGCAGCTGAGCTGTTCAGGAGAGTTATACCTTCCCTGTGTGGTTCCTCCTTACGCTGATGCCATCCCCTGAAACATTTTCTAAAAGTCATATAAAGGGGTATCGGGGTGAGGGGATTCAATGAAGAGATCTATGATGAGAAAGGCTGATCTGTTACAAACAAACCTCCCTAAGTCAAGGGGAAAAAATAATGACTTTTGTATTTTCGTCTTCTGAGAGGAGTCAACCCACTAGGATAGGTGCCACTTTCCCTGGGCCCTCAGCTCGGAGACACATCTTTGATTAAGCACTGCACAAAAATGTTGCATAAAAGCTTAGTTAATAGCTAAAGATAAAAACAGAGGAAAGTACATGTGACTGTTTAGTATAACTCTCCTCAAAAGCCAGGGCATTTATATATACACTTTTTTTTTTTTGTACAGTTTTAGGTTCACAGCAGAAAGTACAGGTTTCTGCATATCCCCCACTCTGTCCTGCCGACACCAACACAGCCAACATCCCCCTTCCGAGTGCTGAAATGACAAACCACCATTATCATTATCAATCAAGGCCCATAGTTTATGTCCAGGGTCACCTGTATTGTATAGTCTATGAGTTTTGACAAATGCACAGCATATGTTCACCACCTTAGTATCATACAGAAAAGTCTCCTCTGATCCACATGTTTACACCTTTCCCCCGTGAACTCTGGTAACTCAGTACCTACTAAACCTTATGCTGTCTCTAGTTTTACCTTTTCCAGAAAGTCATATAGATGGAATCATATGGCATGTCGCATTTTCAGGTTGCCTTCTTTAACTATATGCATTTGAGGATTCTCTGTGTCTTTTTGTGGCTTGATAGCACATTTCTTTTTCGTGTTATAAGTAATATTCCATTGTAGGAAGGTACCAAAGTTTGTTTATTCATTCACCTATTGAAAGCAATTCTATTGCTTCCACATTTTGTCAAATATAAATAAAATTCCTATAAATATTCTCATGCAAGTTTTTGTATGATAGGAATTTTCAACACCTCTGGGTAAATACTAAGGGATTTTCAGGATCATATGATAATTGTATGTTGAGTTTTGTAAGAAACTGTCAAAATATCTTCCAGAGTGGCTACACTGTTTTGCAATACCACAGCAAAGACAGTCCCCACCTCCTGACACCAATATTTGGTGTGCTCAGTATTATGGATTTTAGCCTTAGTTTCATAGTAATATGCTATCTGATAGTTTTATAGTAGTACACTATCTTGGTTTGAATTTAAAATTCCTTAATCATATATAATATCGAGCATATTTTTTCTGTGCTTATTTTTCAACTGTGTATATAGTATCATCTTTGGTTAATTGTGTATTCATATAATTTGTCTATTAATCAGTGTATTCATTTTCTTATAATTGAGTTTTAAGTACTCTTTGTATATTTTGTTTAGCAGGCTCTTTAGCAGATGTAATTTTGTGATTTTTTTTTTTCTGAAACACCTAAGATTACAAAATTATATATAAAAGAAAATAAATGAGAACTGTTTTCAGATTTGTAATATATTTTAAAAGTTAACAACTTTAGTCCAAAAATGTTGCTTTGATAGTGCCTCTTTTTGAAGTGATACATGTTTGAGAGCCTCTATTTATTTTATTGGTTTATAAAATTTACAAATCTAAAGCATATTCACTTATAGATATAATTAGAAAGTGTAGCAAAGTAAACTGGACCTATACTGAATTCATATGTTTATTTTTTCCACTTGTTTATTTGCTTAAAATATTACTTCTTGTGTGTTACATAAAAGTCATTCTGCCATTGCACTATAATTTAATTAAAATCTAACTTATTTTTAAAAGTGGCTTATTATTAGATTATATAATCCACTCTGAAGTAAGTCTGTTTATTCACGTACATCTTTGGACATTTAAAATGGATGAGGATAAATTCCTAGAAAATAGTATTAGTCTAGAGAATGCTTATTTATTAAACCTTTTATACACATTGCTAAATTGTCCATTAGAAAAATTGTATTAATTTACATTCTCACTATGCACAACTAAAAGCTCTCAATATTATATGTAAAGCATACATATAAATAGTCTCAAAGTTGGAGAGAAGAATCAGACCACCTTGAAAACTTGGGAATCAAGAAACAGCAGACTGGTGGGTTTTTGCCACGTATTTCCCAGAATCAGAGCTGAAGAATCCAACAAACTAGAAACACCAACAGGCATGGACAAATGCATAAAGAAAAAAACAATGGAATAAACACATGAATAAATAAAAAAATAATAAAGCTAAAAGCATAACCTAAGTCAATTTGCTCTTGCCAAAGTACTAAGGAAGGTTCAATCTAGCAAGACAGAAAACTTTTAAGATAATAATGCTTAAATCTAGCCAAATGTCATAGAAAATACTTGACCTCCACCTCCACAACTACTAGCTAAGACGAGGAACCAGGCAATGCTGCCCTTTTATTTTCCAGAGGAACCTATTGGAAATAGAATGTTTGCTAAGATCCAGTCTTGTAATTCCCAAAGTACCCGTGATACTTCTGGACATGCTCATCATATCAAGAACTAGAATATATCGAAATGAATTAAAGACAACAGATGCTAGCACTAAAATGATGGAGGTGTATCTAAAATGATGGAGGTCTTTAATGAATTAGAGACAACAGATGCTAGCACTAAAATGATAGAGGTGTTTCAGCATCATAAAAATGCTTCAACAAGCAATGGTGAACATGCCTGGAATAAGCAGAAAAAAAAACAGGAAGTCTCTATAAAAAGATAGACGATCCCAGCCAATAAGTAAAAAATACAAAGAAAAAGAAAATTTAAAAGTTAGAATTAAAAAAAAACACAACTGAAATTTTAAAAATTATCCCATCTGAATGACAGAAGGGAAATAGGTTGGACAAAAAATGTAGAGCCTCAGGGTCTGGGGGATGGTAGGGTAAGGTCTACGTTTGTGCCATTGGAGGCCAGTGTGAGAGGGGGAATAGTGGCTCACAGTGCTAAAGAAAAAAAAAGAAAGCTTCTTAAATTCAGGAACAGGGTCAAATCTGTCAAGAAGTTTCATGAATCTCAAGCAGCATAAACCAAAAAATATCCATATTGAGATACATCATAGTCTAACTTATGGAAAATTGGGGGGAAATGTTAATAGCAGACAGAAGAAAATTACATCTGACCTACAGGGAAAAATATTGGTCCAAATGACAGTGTATTTTCCATCAGAAACTGTGGAGGCCAGAAGAAGTAGCATATAATTGTTCAAATTCTAAAAGGACTGTTAACCCAAATTCCTATATCCAGTAAAAATATCCTACAGGAAATTCATATATGAAGAAAAACCAAGAAAATTTGTTTCTGAAAAATAAGCATGTAAAAGATGAGCAATGTGTTAGCCATTAGAAAAGTGTAAGTTGAAACCCAAGGACGTATAACTACATGCCTATCAGGATGTCTAAAATACAAGTAGCTACAATGTTAAATGCTGGTGATGACGCAGAACCCCTGGCTCACTCACCTGTTGCCAGAGGGACTGTGAAATGATACAGTCACATTGGAAATGGCCGCAGCAGAAACACACCAGCAAACCTAGGCGGCTTTCAGAATAGAAACTACTCCATGATCAAAAAATTGAATTCCGGGACATTTATCTCACAGAAATGAAA